AAAGAAATCCAAACAATACCATTAAAATGTGGACAAAGAACTTGAATAGACATTTCCCCAAAGATGTTATATATAAGAAAATTAGGTATAGTATCATTGAATAAGGGAAATAGAAATCAAAACCACTGAATATCAGTCCATATTCATTAGAATAGCTTCCGTAATAACACAAAGCAGAACCATAAAAATATGCATGTTAGTGTGGGCATTGTTCATGGGAGTGTAAAACGGTGCAGTCATGAGGAGAAACACAGGAGACTTTTCTCTAGAAATTAAACCTAGCATTACCATGTAACTCAGCAAGTGTACTTGTATATCTCAAAGAACTGACAACACAGACTTTAAAAGGTATTTCAACGCCCATGTTCATCACAGCATTCATAACTGCAAAGGGCTAGGAACAACCCCAATGTCTGGAAAACTAAAAACAAATGAAATGTACATATGTACACAATGGACTATTATTCAACTTTAAAATGGAAATGAACTCCAGTGTACTAGAACGTGGGTGAAACTTGAGAACATTATTCCAAGTAAAATAAGCCAATCACAAAAGAGAAATACTGTATGATGTTACTTATGGGAGGGTCCTAGACCCTTTAGATACCAAATTCAGTGATAGAATGTAGAATGCATTTGCCAAAGTTGGGATGGAGATAATGAACTACTACGTTTTAACGGATGCAGTGATTTATGTTTGTCTGATGAAAAAGTTCTGGAGATAGGTAATGATAGTGGTTGTATAACAATATGAACATGCTTTGTGTCATTAAACTGTGTACTAAAATGTCTAAGAAGGCAAATTTCTGTTGGATGCATTTTTCTACAACTTTTAACAATAAAAAATACACAAAAATAATAATATGCAAAAAGTAACATAACACTAAATACTCAAATCTTGAATTTCAAATATCTTTTCTAACAAAAGGAATCAAGGCTATCTGGAGAAACAAATGTTTCTAGGCTGAGAGAGGTAAAGACCAGGTGAGCCTGAGCATCCCCAGTGCCAACAAGGAACGAGAAACACTCAAGAGGAGCAGGTAGGGCAAACAGAACAACCCCAAGCAAAGAGATGTGTCGGAGGGACTCACGTGTCAACTGAAAGGTCAAAGACAGATGCGTTTCTCAAAATACCTGCCTGTTGTCTTCATGGTTATCAAGGTCATCGCAAACAAGACAAGAAGTTTTAATAGACTGCAGGAGATGTGGTGGGTCAGTACAGCACTGTATTCTGGGTGGGAGTAGGGAACGAAAGAGCTGGGAGAGCTGATGAAGCCAGAGTTAAACCTGGAGCTTGTTTAATGGTATGTGTCAAGGGGAGTTTCTGAGTTTTAACGAATGAATCATGGTTATAAAACAAAACCAAAAATGTATAATTAGGAGAAACCGAGGGGAAGATATTCAGGAACTCTCTGGACTGCTCAGCTTCTCTAGAAACATCAAACTATTTCAACTTTACTTCATTTAATAAAAGTAATTCTTGCTTTAGTATAATAAATTATAATTACTTCACACTAATAGCTAACCGGATATTTATAAATACTGAAAACATGTCTTTTAAAAAATCTAGGAAGTAGTGAAATAATGAGGAAAGTCAACAATATTGAGTAATTATGACATAGTCTAGTACATAGTAAGTGTTCAATAAATAATTGTTCTCAGCTAGCATGTCTTTTTACAAAACTAAAGTTATATTTATCTATTTATGTGTGTGTGTGTTGGGAGTGCATCTGAGTGGGAGTTGATTCTCTCCTTCTACTGTGTGGTACCTGAGGATCAAACTCAAGTCAGGGTTGAGAGTAAATGCTTTTATTCACTGAGCCAGCTTAGCAGCCTTCACTAACATTCTTGTAGAAGTACCTCATAGTCCTTCAGGATGAAACAAAACTGAAGGCTGAGAAGTAGTATTTCTACTATTAGGGATTATTTCTACTATGCATTATTTGCAAATAACATACTAATGACTATACTTGATTAAAAGCAAATCATAACTTTTAAAAATGCAGTTACGTAACAACACAAATAAATTTATTGATTTATTAATTTTCCTATGTACCAACAATAACAATCTGCAAAAATACATTAGAAAAAGAAATTAGTAATAGAACCAAGCAACTTTAGCTTTCTAGAAATAATATAAATGGACTAAAAATAGAGAAATGGAAAAAGCTATTTATGGTTTATGTATACAAGGTACTACTATACAGCACTTATAACTGCATTTTCAAGAGAATTTTAATATTGTTAGGTGACTGGTGCTATAAAGTTAAGTGAAAACTCAGAATTATATCATTATACTAATTATAGAGCGAGTAGTTGCCACCAGAAGGGAAATTATGCAAATACAAAGCCCTAAAATTGATTGGCTTGAAAATTAGACAAAATGGTTGAAAAATAAAAATTTCTCAGTAGAGGAAGGAGACGAATACATTGTATTAAAAAAGGAATCTGGGTTTTCACATATTCAGTGAGAGTTTTTGAAGCGGACTGATGTGAGTTCATGTGGAACCAGCAGCCTTCGTCACTGGCTTCTTCTTCTTTTCTTTTTCTTTTTTTCTTTTTTTTTGGTGAATTCTAGGTGGTCTCAGCAGAGAGAAATGCGGAAGTGAAGTTTGAGACGCACACTGAACACAAAGGAGACAGCAAATTCTCAGCGGAGTGAAAACATCAGGAGGAGGTGACATCACAGGGAGACATGGAAACTTGGAAGTTACCAAATCCCCGTCAAAGCTAAGACGCGTCACTTGTGAATACCAGGACAGAAGAGATGTGGTAAGACCCTTTCAACAATTTCCCCTTGACCTGATTTTGATAATTTAATGCAGAAATATAAGCACCCTTAGTTTAGCATATTTTAATGCTTTTCTATTTTTGAAAGTTATGAACTACTTCAGTTCCACATTGAAAAGAGTACAGAATAATGCAGAATACTGTTGAATGACGCCCAAGTTGGTACAGTCACTTTAGAAAGCGGTTTGGCATTGTTTAATTCAGTCAAGGCTGTCACCTCCTCTTCCTCCTTAAATTTTCATTCCCAGTTACTTTTTCTTCTAATACAGTTGAACTTACATTGGATAGTCCCACTTTCCTAATGAAAATCTCCCTTTCTTTAATTATTCTTTCAATGGATATATCAGGGAAAGAAAAAAAGAAAAAGAAAATGCCAGAGTGATGCAAAATGAAGTCACATGATGTTTCAAATACTTTAAAGCAACTTGGGCTGCCAGCTTTTGAGATGCTGGTTGAGATGTTGGTTTTATGTCAATGGGTTGCTTATTCTTTATCGGGCAGTGGTTACTACAGGGAGCATCACATGACTGTGCCATTGATTACAGAGATGGAAAAGACAGAGCTGCAGTGTCTCTCTGGTGATAGTGACAAAATATCATGACAAACCCTGGCCTCGTCCTTCAGGCTTTGTACCGTACTCCAAAGATCACAACATAGCCACATTAAGTCACAGCTATTTTAACTTTGGTTTATCTATTTACTGTGTGTTACATGTTCACATTTATGTGCACATGTGTGAAGGTGCATGTGGAGGTCAGAGGTGAACATCAGGTGATTCCTCAACTGTTCTCCAACTTACTTTTCATGACAGAGTCTCTCACAGAACCTGAAACTCATCTGTCCAACTAGGTTGACCAGCCAATGAGTCTCAAGGATCCTCCTGTCTTTGCCTCTGTTGGGATTATGAGAGCACACAGCTATGGGCAGCTTTTTATGCAGGTGCAGGAAATACTTGATGTCTGAGGGAGTCAGAAGAAGGCATTGGATCTCCTGAAACTGAAGTTATGGATATGTGTACTGAGAACTGAACTTGGGTCTGTAGTAAGAGCAGCAGGTGCTCTTAACTGCTGAGCCTTCTCTTTCAGCACCATTTTGTAGTTTTATATATATAATATATAAAATATATATTTTATATATTTTATATATTATATATATATAAATATATATATAAATATATATAATTATATATATATTATATATATAAAAATATATTATATATATAAAAGGTTAGACAGCCCAGTGGTGGTGGCGCACGCCTTTAATCCCAGGACTCGAAAGGGAGAGCCAGGCGGATCTCTGTGAGTTCGAGGCCAGCCTGGTCTAAAGAGCGAGATCCAGGACAGGCACCAAAACAACACAGAGGAACCCTGTCTTGAGGGGGAAAAAAAAAGGGTTCGATACATAGTAATTGTACATAACACGATACTTTGAAATAATAGTCATTGTGGAATCTAGATAATTAACCATTGCCTTACTTTACATAATTGTATTTTTTTTTTGTGGCGAGAGCCCTTTTTGCATTTTTCATGACTATAATACATTGTTATAAATTACAGTCACCTAGTTATGTAATAGACCTCTTAAATTCATCCTGTCTTTCTCCTTGCAATCACATCATCTTTGAACAACTTTTCCTGCCTTCTGCTGACCAACGCTCTCCCCTCTACCTCTAGGGCTGACATATTAAGTTGTATGCTAGGGATCAAGAAGCAAGCACTGGCGCAATGATGACCTTTCAAAGAAAAAGTGTTTGTACTGTGGGTGAAACTCATCAAAAGTTCACTGCACAATTTTGTCTCTCTTCAATTTCTCTCTGAACACAAATGGAAATCTGTTGGGACACGCATTCAATAATAAAATCCTCTTTCACCTAGACATTACACTTGAGGCTGCGCCTTCCAAGTGCACAGTGTAGCCTGACCCCCACTCCCAAAGGCGGGGCTCTACCTTAAGTCATTGCATCAGCTAAAGTAAATGTTCCTATTTCCTCCCCCTCCGCTGGGCTCTTTAGTTCTGTTTAGCTTCTTCATAAATATACACTTTGTACAGCTAAGAGTGAGAGAATGCCAGTGTGGCCAGAAAGAGTGAAGAGTTCACAGGCTGAAGACAGAGGGAGTTACATGAAACTATTAAGCTCAATTAACAAGTGAAAAATGAACTAACTTGTTCCAGAGTGATTTTTAATTCTGTCAAATAAAGAGGAACCAGACTGCAGGGTAAACTCTTATTTATTAGTTTTGGTTAATGAGTTTTTCCATAAGCAGAATTTCTTCAATTTTATTGAATCAATAAAGTCACCATTTGGAAATCTGGTCTTTCCCAGCAGAGCAGTACTTTAATGAAGCATACAGCAAACACCCGAGTGCTGTAAAGTGACTCTGTGGCGGTGAACCAGTCTACGGGGTCTATTGCTGGCCTGGCTGACAGGGCTGCAGAAATATTTCCTTTAAATTTAATCTCCAGCTCAGGAAATCACACTGAGAGCTGACCAATGGGGTGGGATGACATGAAGAAGCATTGGCGTAGGGAAGGAGACAATTCATTGAGTAAAGAGACAGCTTTCACAACTGGAGAAAATCATCACACTGAGGCTTAATATCCAGAATGTATGAAGCTCCTAAACTACTGGAAAAATCAAACAAGAAGTGAATTAATGAAAGGCACAAACACTTCTCAAAAGACAAAGTACAAATAGCCAATAAATATAAAATAATGGTGGACACCATTAGCCATCAGGGAAATGCAAATGGAAAATATATTGAAGTGTGGTCTCACCCCAGTCAGAAAAGCCTGACAAAAAGAAAACCAATAGACAAATGCTGGTAATCACGGAGGGAAGGGGGAACACTTCCACATTGCTGATGGGGTTATAAACTAGACTAGTCCTGTGGAAATTAGTATGGGGGTTCCTCAAATAAATAAAAGTTAGAGATAACACATGACTACGCTAGACCACTTCTGGGTACATATTCAGGCGACTCTAAATAAGCACAGCCCAGAAGTCCTTGCACATGATGTTCATGGAAGCCATAACAGCCAAGTTCAGAATCAACCCCGCTGCCTGTCGGCAGATGAACAGAACAAGACAACGTGGTTGAACATCAACAGTGGAGTTTTAATCAGCTGGGAGGAACATTGAAATTATTCTGTTTTCTGGAAAATAGATTCAACTGTAAAGCAAATTAAGAAAGCAAGCAAGACTTGGGCAAATATTGCATATTGTCTCGCACTTGTGGATCTGAGATTAAAAAACTAATACGTAAAGCAATCCCTCCCCTCTCTCACTATCCTTAGGACAAGAAAGAGAAGAGAGACAGAGAAAAAAGGTGACATATGGGAGGGGAGTAAAGGTGAGGTATGTAGCACAAAATAGGATATATTTGAAAGAAAACTATCTTTATGAAGCTAACATTATGTACAACGACTACATCTCTGTAGACGAAATTCTAAAAGCTCTTATTAATAAAAAACCCAGGAGCTAAGTGTTGGGGTGAATGCTAAAAGATCAGAGAAGCAGAACAAGCCACAGCTAACCTCACCTCGCCATCTCCTCATCAGATCCTGTTTCCTCAGACTGAAAGCCTCTGAGTCCTCATCTGAGTGGATCTCAACTGAACTGCTGCTAAAAGTTTAAAAGGTTAAAAGCCTCTAGTTCCTGGTTTTCGTGCCTTATATACCTTTCTGCTTCCTGCCGTCACTTCATGGGATTAAAGGCTTGTGTCTTTCCCAAGCAAAGACATGAGATAATCAAGTGGTGGGATTAAAGGTGTGTGCCACCACACCTGGCTGTTCCTAGTGTGGCCTTGAACTCACAGAGATCCAGACAGATCTCTGCCTCCCAAGTGATAGGATTAAAGGCATGTGCTACCGTTGCCTAACCTCTGTGTTTAATATAGTGGTTATTCTGTTTTCTGACCCTAGATAAGTTTATTATGGTGCACAATATTTTGGGGGACACAATGTCACCACGTGTCTCAACAATACATTTACCTTCACTCTGAAAATCACGTGAATTTGTTTTTATTTTCAGGGTGATATATTTTTCTTATATGTGTTACCAATGAACAATCATAAGAATTCTTATAAGGGAGTGATGTCCTTTAGAAAATAGCAACGAATCCTTTCTCCAGTCCTGCCTGGCTTGTCTGTGGCTAGGTTTTCATAGTACGGCTATCTCCACTGTGTCATGGTTAAAAGTCACATCTTCCCCTGAGGAGTCTCTTGTCCACACCCACCTCTGTTTATAAGCGAGTCCAAGGCAAACTTACCAGAGGAGCAGACTTCCTTTTCTCCGAGGCAAACGTGGCACCATGATGTGTTTGCAGATAATCAGTCAATACTTCTTTATTTCTAAAGTCAGTGGTGGTAAAGGAATTTCCTTCACTGTGGCCCCAAGTCCAGAAATTTTTGTTTACATTGTATTTTTTTTAACAGAGAAAGGAAGAGAAATAATAACTTGGAGACGGTTGGCTCACTCTGAGGAGACTGCCTAGGTTGGTCTCTATATCTGACCTCTGTCCATAGTCTGAAGATGGAACAACAGCAGCATATTGGGATCAAAAGAAATTAGTTTCCAGTCTTATTTCATGGGCCATGCATATATTTAGTTATCAACAGATAGCGTTGGCCGAACTCACTCCAGCCACAAGCCAAACATATCAAGAAACAAACACGTACTCCCCCTATGCCCCTCCAACTATTTCCACAGTTCTGCCTCCGAAGTGGAAATCCCAGGAGGGGATTCAGGTTTTGTAGGGTCTGGAGCATATAAAGTATAAAACACTTTTTCAAAATATTTATTTATTTGGTGGGTATGTGAGCGCATGCTATTCATGGGTGTGGAGGCCAGCAGGTGGTCGATAGCTCACAGGAGTTGCTTCTCTCCTTCGACCATGTGGGTTCTGAGGACAGGAGTCAGGTTGTTAGCCACAGTGGCAAACACCTTTGTGCGCTGAGCCATCTCACTGGCCTGACAAAACACCGAAAGAAAAATTTTCCTAATGATTGAAGGGTAACCACAGAGCAATGTGGCTGTTCTTTTCCTTACACTACGCGAGATAGCTATGTGTGACAGTGTTCGTCCAATCTGGTAAACCTAAGGGATTTGTGAGGGACCTTATGAGTGCAGCCAGGCTCGGCTGCATGGAGCTACCACTGCCTGATGGGTCAGGGCTCTCATCTTTCTCATCCTCTTTTTCCTACTGACGGGCAATTACTATGGAAGCTTATGTACCATGTATTATGTTACGCCTTCATTGGAGAGCGTCGACTGGACTGCTGGGTTCTAACCCTAGCCTCACTAACACTATCTGGGGAACCCTTAAAGGTACACAAGTGCCTCTCTGTTACTCAGCTCCCCCTGTTCCCTTCAGGTCTGGCCCCGGCAAGATGATTAGGGAGCTCTATGGTTATTGCACTCCACTGACACTTTTTTATGTCCCACTGCAAGTGTGCTACAGGGAAAGCAGCTGTTTAGCAGGATCCTTGTCCTTGTACTTGTATTTTTTTTCTGAAAAGAATTACCTTCCATTTCATGTTACAACACATACTCATTTAATTCATTTAAAGCAACTTTGCCTTTTAGAGTCTTCTACCAACATTTTCCGTTGTCCCTTTTCTTTCTTTTTTTAAATGTGAGAGTGAAAAAATAAAGACTGAAAAACATCATCCTTTTTATTGGAAAGGAAAGAGCAATATCCACAAACCGGATATTAGTTTCTGATGGGTCTATGCCCTTCTTTCCATGAGTAACAGTTTAATGTTTTTGCTCAGCATAAGGGAGAAATGTGTCTAGAGCCATTTTTTCCCTCTCTCCATCTCTTAATACCAATGCTTGTATCATGGTCAGTTTTAAATTTTGCTTTATAAATTGATCGTTTCTTCTTGAAATTCCTTCCCAAGACTCAGAGCAGTGTACAACAAAATTTTGAAGGGGAGAAGATCAGGGGGAAATGGTAAGCTATTTAGATTTTTAGAAGACAAGCTCAGGTTTGTTTATTTGTTTGGTGTTGGTTTTTACTTCCTTTTTTTGTTTGTTTTTTTGTGACAGAGTTTCTCTGTTCTGGAATTCACTCTGTAGGTCAGGCTGGCTTCAAACTCGAGATCTTTCTGTCTCTGCCTTATGAGTTCTGAGATTTAAAGGCATGTGCCACCACTGTCCAGGTGGACAAGCTCAGTTTGAAGATAGCCTTAAGTGGTAGAAAATACTGTGACATACAAATACAACCCCAGTATTTGCTGACACACATACAATCTCATTACTTGCTGGATGAACTTTAAAAAAATAATAACAATGAGAATCACTAGACTCTGCAGAGACAGTTCACGAGAATGTCTCGCTGATTGCTTGCAATGTTGTTGGGTGGACTCTGGAACTAGAACACAATGGCATCGATAGGTCAAGAAGCTTAATATGTGAGGTTTGAGCATCCGTAGGGTGTGATGTAGACAACAACTGTCTCCAGTTTTGCCTTTGGAATATTCAGGTAAAAGTCAAGTCCATAAAATGGAGACATAGCAGGTATGAAAATAAGCCTCTGAAAATAATTCCTGTCATACTAAAAAATAAACCATTAATTACAAGTTTAAAGTTTTCTTTTTTTTTTGGCAAGTGCACTTGAGAGCTCTCTTTCTGTGTATGACATTTCCTGCCCTTAACATTTCATTGGCTTTATATCATCAAGGAAACACATTCAATTTGTCCTATAATTACCTAATATTAAAGAACCAGTCATGTATATACATTGTGCTTTTATGATTTTTCTCTCACAGAACGGACAGATCCACTATCATCATGAGTACTTCATTTTTAAAGTTACCTATATGGCTTATTTTTTTTAAATGCTCATTTATTTGTGTGTGAAAGCGTGTCTACACGTCCTGGCCGAGGTTTGCTTGTGGAGGTCGGAGGATACCTGGGAGGAATTTGTTTTCTCCTACTGTGTGGGTCCCGGAGGTCAAGCTCAGGCTTGGTGGCCAGCACCCTTATCCTCCATCTCACTGGTTCCCATTTGTTTTCATGCTGTTCGAGTTGCCTTAAAACGCCATGCTTGCTACTTTACCTATAGTATGAAGAACCCTCAAACTAAGAATACAATTATCTATCGCATCCACTTTTTTGTTTTCTATGTTGATTTCATGCCTTATAGGCTCTGCTTAGTTTTCTGAAGTTGATTTTTGATTTGTGAGCAAAGTTTTAAAAAGCTAAAAAGGGTGAAATTGGTTCAATGTTTCCAGCACAACGCAACGTTTCTTTTGTGGGTTTATTTCCCTGCTGCATTAATTTGTGGTTACTCACCTTCTCCTCAGAGATCTCCGGGGAACCCCAAACCTGATTCTCCATGATCTGACATGAACCCAAACATTTCTCCCAATAAATTACATCTCATGTGTAATAAAACAAAATCAGCTTCCTCGGGGTGGGGAAGAATGCTCCCGGCCTCCATTGGCTGTATTTTGGGGTTTTGTTCACACACATCCTGCGGATGCGGATCTGCAGCCTATGCGGGTCCGGGAGGAGGAATGTTGAGTTCCCTCACTGGTCCAAACAATGCCGGAATGTTTTTCCCCTGTCCATTCACTTAAACAATGTGCCATTCTGTACCTCATAAGCACTTAATTTATTCCAACTCTTTGGCCTGACCTGTAATCCCCCTCTCCTTACCCATCTGACCCATCTGTGTTTCATTTCCCACTCATCAGCATCCAAAGAGCTGGGCCCGGGCCCTGTTTGGAACCATTAGCCAGAGATTGGCACTCTTCCCTCTTCCTGCGCCACATCCTCTGCTGGAAAAAAAAAAAAAAATGACCATCAGATCAGAGAACAGAACCTGCTTTGTGCCCTGTACCGGGGATCTGGAAGCATTTTCAATCATTTGCACTCTATACCCACTCAAACGCATTAATGTGATCAACATTGGGTCTGTTGTGGGCATTTTTTCCAGCAAATAGCTTGCTAACATTCCAGGCATGTACTTCCCCGAAAACAAGACTGAGACAGGGCCCTGAATATTCAATTGGAAAATCACCAAGAGCAGAAGCTTAGTTTGGCACGGCCGGTGTTGATTCTTAATAAGTGACTTCCTAAAGCTGAGGCATGGGGCTTACAGCGTCAATGACTTGTTTGAAAAATATTTTGTAGGTGCCTCATACCACTCTATTTCCTGTGGTATGCGTCATAGTGTGAGCTATTCCAAGCCAGCCTGGTTAAGCACACTAACTTTTTCCCCCCCAAGATTGTGGTGTTTGACTAAAAATGTCTTTATACAAGATGAGCTCACAGCTATTAGTGCTGATGTAGTTTTAACTGCTTGGATACCAACTGCAGCTGCTTGAAAATGTGCTGAAAAGGGTAAACCTGAGCGAAAACATCTCTCACCCTGTCGAACATGGCGGGACGCAGTCCGGCAGCCGCGTTTCTTCAGGGGAAAGCGGTTCAGTTAGGCACAATGCATACCTTTCACTTTCATTAGAAAGACTTACTGTTCTTAATATATTACCGAAGTCAAGGTGCTGAAGACATCTGGAACACCGGAATAAAATTAACCCTTTCACAGCTTCAGGTTTTTTTTTTTTTTTTTAACGCTTGCCAAGGAGGAAAGGTAAATTCAGAAAACAAACAGATTTGTCTCAATTACATTTCCGAAAGGGTAACAAAAGGAAACCTGAAGACCTGAGAGGCTGTCCGTGGCATTAAAGTGTATGTGAGCAGGACTTGCGTGAGGATCAAATAGGACCCAGTATGTAAGAGCCTTTTGACAAGCGTTTCTAATTCTAGACATGGGGGAGAGAGTGTCACCACTGAGTGTCATGGGCGAGCCTCACAAGCATCCAGCACTTCCGAACGCTGCAGCTCTCCACAGAACTCATGACGTAGACGTTGTCATTTGTGTTTCACAAGGAAGGAAGGAGACTCTCAGGGAGAATTCAGTAAATTTCATAAAGCAGTGTCCCCGATTTATTTATTACAAAGGCAGGGCCCCAACGTAGGTCAGTGTGAGTAATTCCCGGGTGCTTTATCCGCCACCTTGCCGCCCAGAGATAAAAGTAATCTCATGTCTGTTATAGCTGCCATTGTCTACTTTTTGTTTAAAGGATCCATGTTTGCCCCAGTGTCCTGAGCTGGAAGAGGAGATGAATATAAATCTGTGTGAGTCATGTCCTTTCCTGCTTTTCTCCAGTGAATACGGTACAGGCGGCGTCTAGTTTGGGGCCAGTACCCAGTGGGTGTTCAGTGGCTATTAACTGATTAGACATTGTCTATGCCATCTCTGAATGATTTGTGTCTCTACAATAGGACCTTTTATAACAGAGAAGAGAGGGATTGATACCCTGGACACTGCCTGGGCTGTGTTTGCCTCTTGGGGCAAATAATTTTCGTTGGTGCCAGGAGCAGCTCCGACGTGTCTGCTCTGCCCTTATGTGGCCTGGGGCTTTGAGCTTGGGAGAAAAGCCCCAGCCTGGTCTTGGATGAAGCAAAAATGTACCAAAGGGGACCCAGGGGAGCTATGGAGTTTGTTAGAAGAGGTGACCACATGAGGGTCTGCCTGTTGATGATTGTCAAGGCAAGAGCGTGCATGTAGGTGATGGAAGATTCTCTGAGGCAACACACTACCAAACCAATACACTGCCCAGCACTAGAAGGGGGAGGGGGAACTTCTGCCCCACTACAGCTTGGGGAGGTAACCAGTAAGTCTGTACCATGAATTGGAAAAGGGAGTTTTTGTGTTGGCTTTTTCCTCTTGGTTTAGAGTTTTGGGTCTTGGGTCTGTCAGCTTGCAGGCTATATAGTAACACATGGTGACTGTCAACTGTGAGTTGGTCCTGTTTTTTTTTTTTTTTTTTTTTTTTTTTGTATTTTTTGGTTTTTCGAGACAGGGTTTCTCTGTGAAACAGTTCTGGCTGTCCTGGAACTCACTCTGTAGACCAGGCTGGCCTCGAACTCACAGAGATTCACCTGCCTCTGCCTCCCGAGTGCTGGGATTAAAGGTGTGTGCCACCATCACCGAGGTGAGTTGGTCCTTTTTGCCTTGATGTGCAGTATGCTATCTGAAGTAGGTCCCTTGCTTCTTGATCAAGATTGGGACACCAAGTCAGTTTCCTTAAAAAGACAAACAAACCAAAGCAGACATTTATTTATTTTATTTTATGTGTGTGAGTGGTCTCCCTGCAGGAACGTCTGTTTACCATGTGCAGATCTGGTGCCTAGGGAGCTCAGAAGAGAGTGTCAGAGCCCCTGGAACTGGAGTCACAGAGGGTTGTGAACCATCATATGTGTGTTGGGAACCCAAACTGGGTCCTCTCTGCTCTTACCCACTGAGGCACCTCTCGAACCTGTGGTTTCCTTTTAGAGTACAGTTTTTAGGAAATACAAACTTCAAAAAATTATTTTGTATAGTTTAATAGCATTAGCAGAGACATTGGTTCAGAATACCTAGCCTTGAGATTGGTTTTGTGCTAAGTTGTGAGCAGCTCATATTTTCTACTTGAGACACTTTTAAGTTTCTTTTAAGGGAGTGGAAATCACTTATTATTCTGACTGGGAGATTTGCCACCACAGGATTGTCACATTTGGTGACAAGCCACATGAATATGTCACTAACCTAAGAAAACGTTGGCAGGTTTACTTATTTTTCTTCATTTCTTTCATTCTTGTAGTTAAACTCTACTTTGGAACCATTTAACAAGAAGGTAACATTAGGAAAAGAAAATAGACTTCTTTTCCCCCTAAGGAGAACAGATGACCTGGGCGCTCGTGAGCTGATGCTCCGTTCAGGCCATTTGTCACCTCAGTGAGAACTAATCTTTTACATGTTTCTGTGTTGTTGTTATAGTTCCTCCAAGTGGCTTCGCACCTTCTCGGAACAGAGACTGCCACCCTTTGCAAGGCAGAGGGAAGGATACATGTAAGAAAATGTCGGAAGACAGAAAATGAGTGATCCGACACGGTGTTTCCATCAGTTTGGAAATACTGGCTAAGATTAGCAGCTGAAGCCTAAATGCGTGATGTTCACCCGAGTCTGAGTTTTCACCCAGGCAGCTCCACAGCCAGGCTTCACGTTTACCATAGACTGAAGTCTACATCCACTGTCAGTCTTAAGTAGGGACTGTGTTTGAGAGAACGTACTAGAATGCTGGGGTTTTCTCTAAAGATTACACGTAGCCCTTCAAGTAAAGCTGCATGAGTCTCATTCCTGAGGCCGTGCACACAAAGTTTCAGGAAACAGCAGGTCTTAATTAGCCCTCTCATTTATAGTTTCACCTGAAAAAATACATTTAAAAAAATCATATATATTTGGCTGTCGAAATTTTTCAAGTCAATAAATTCTTGCTAATTAATCACATTAACGGTACTCCTTAAAAGTTGAAACAGAATCAGAAAACAAACCAAAATCCCCATAAATATCCTACATAAAGGCCTATTCACAGATCCTTTTTCAGTTTTGAAGACTTTTACAAGTGTTTTTCCCTTCCTGCCCGGACGATCTCACGTGTGCACGCGCACGCGCTCGCACACACACACACACACACCTATTATGTCACTCTCCATAGCTGTCATTATCTGTACAGGAAGGTAGTTCTGGTGGCAGATTTTGATACTTGGGGATAACATCATTGTAGGTACCTTTGAGCCTGGAGTTTTTACTTGTCACGACTTTGAGATAAGAACTCAGAAACTCTCCGCAGCGGCAGAGTCTCAGAGTTGTCTCAGAGTCTCCTCCTCAGAAAGTTAGTGTGGTAGGGAAGACAGGGTGGTCAGCTGGGAAAACAGAAGCTGAGGGAGTGATGGGCTTCCTCTTGTTCATTCAGAATTGCTGTCTTCCAAAGGACCCTAATTATTGGTATAAATTTGCCCCTCTAATATCCTGCTTGAGGCTTTGATCTGTAACAGCACACAATGTCCCAAAGCAGGATTATTTAAATCCGCTTTAGAAACAAAAACAAACAGATCCAAATTCCTACCTCTCTCCATGGTGTGTGTCCTGAGACTAGTGCTACCAATGGTCATTAAAACAGCTTCTAGGGGCCTAAGAGATTGGGTCACAAGTACAAGCTGCTCTTGCAAAGGATGTAAGTACAGTACCCAGCATCCGGGTTCTGCAGCTTACAGCCCTGTGTTACTCCAGCTCCAGGTAGAACTGCCTCAGTCTGCATTTTCCCCACCCCATACACATAAAAAAAAAAAAAAAAAGAAAGAAAGAAAAGAAAAGAAAAGAAAATAGCTTTCCAAACTTATAAACCATAGTCTCTCAATTTTTTCTTGTTCATATTTATCAGGATGTTGTATTTGAGTCCATGTGCTGTAATTTAAAATTCTGAGCTGGAGTTTCCCCACTCACCATGACAATCTGAGACTGTTTGGAATCTGAAGCTGGAGTCTGAACCAGAACTTCAGACTGGTGCATTGCTCTTCCTCACCAGAGGAACTTCTTGGAGTAGATGGCAATGAACACTGGAACCCACAACTCATCGACACACAGAGAAAAAGAGACTTCGGAATACTCATCCTTAAATGGGATGTTTGAGTCACAGCCCTCAGTTCAGGGCTCAAGTATCTACCTAGGGAAGGAGGCAGAGAGATTGTAAGAAGTGATAGATGACTTCAAAGACACAATGTTTTCCCGACATACAGGGCAGAAGCACATATGAACTCAGATTGTGGTAGCATGCCCAAGGCCTGCACAAACTCAAATTCCAGCATGGAGGAGGGGAGGGGGACAGGATATCCCATTTCCCACTGAGGAGCTTTTGAAATTTTATAGTTCCTGAGAGGGACAGTCCGTTTTCTTCGATGGAATGGCCACTCCTGTGAGTAGTCATCCAACACAACCTGGATTCCACAGGTTTGGTTTTGTGTTCATGGGGGTGGGGAGCAGGACAAGGAAGAGAGAAAGAGAGCACATGAAGTTAGGTGAGTAAGGAGGCAGGAGGGGTTATATGTGGAGTTGGGGAGGAGAATGAATATGATCAAAGTGTATAAATTCTCAAATGTAGTTGTAATTTTCTATCCCGCCAGCCATCTTCCAAATAACCACATGTACTTCTTATTAATTATAAAAGCTCAGTTGATAGCTTAGGCTTGTTTCTAAATAGCTTTTATAGCTTAAAGTAATCCATTTCTATTCATTTACTTTCAGTCTCATGGCTTTATTACCTCTTTCTCATTTTGTGTGTCCAACTTGTTCCACATCTGGAGGGCTTCTCCCCATACCTCCTGGAGGCTCCATCCTCCTTCATCCCTGCACTCTTTCCCTGTCTGCAAGTCCTGCCTAACCTCTTCCTGCCTAGCTATTGACCATTTAGCTCTTTATTATACCAGTGAGAGCAACACATATTCACAGAGTACAGAAAGATTATTTCACAACACTCAAAGAATAAAAAAATACTTTAAGAAACCTTAGCTTATTTTTCTCGGTGATAGGTAACCATTTTTACTATAAGATTTCTGAATGTGGGTCATTTTTTAAAAGGAAAATGAATCAGTTAACCTCAGTTATTTGTTCTGACAAACAACCAGTTTTGTATGGCTGAACCAGAGTAACAACAGCTTCAGGAATGCTTTGTTTGTCTGTTTTGCAGTGTGGAGGAGCAAACCCAGGACCTTGTGAAGGCTCAGCAAACAGTCTACTACTGAGTCATATCTGAAGCCCCTGTTTTCTTCTGACAGAGCCTTACTTTGTAATTCAGGCTAGCCTTGAACTTCCTATGTACTCTGTGCTGAACTGGCAACCTTCCTGTCTCTACCTACTGAGTGCTGGGATTCTAATTGTGACTAGCTCGAGTAATTAGATTTTCATTTTTATTGTTATCAAGATGGCCTAACTAATTTTACATCTCTGTAGGGGAAAATGTCTATAAAAATTTCAGTTCAGCTGGAACCCTTTCCTCCAACTACTAATAGTTGATTGTGACAGAAATATAGCTTTTTATAAAATCCTCATGTGGAAATTTTAGGATTAAAGATTTCAATTTGATTTTATAGTATATGGGAAAGAAAAAAGAACTGTATTCAATTACAAACACTAGTCTTTGAGTGTCTTTCAGGAAGTTGACTCTTCATTGATGGATTGATGGAGTTTTGGTTTCCTTTGCTTTTTTTTTTTTTTTTTTTTTTTGGTTTTTCGAGACAGGGTTTCTCTGTGTAGCTTTGCGCCTTTCCTGGAACTCACTTTGGAGACCAGGCTGGCCTTGAACTCACAGAGATCCGCCTGGCTCTGCCTCCCGAGTGCTGGGATTAAAGGCGTGTGCCACCACCGCCCGGCTTTCCTTTGCTTTTTTGCCTCCTTGCTTTCCTAGTGTGACAGTCTGTGCACTACAATGCCATCCATTTAAGGTATAGTGAATTAAAACGTTTCCTCACCTGGTCCCAGCTAAACCTCTGTTTAATATGGGTAAATCATTACAATTAAGTGTACCAGGATTTTTCTTTTTTCTTTTTTCTTTTTTGGACCACCAACCAGCTCCTAAATCATGACATGGAGACTTCTTATTAGTTATATTAGTTATGAATGCTCAGCCTAGCTTAGGCTCATTTCTGGCTAGCTCTTTTAATTTAAATTGACCCGTTTCCCCTCATCTACCTTTTGCCTCGGGACTTTTTACTTTTCTTTCCTTCTGTACATCTTACTTTCACTGCTTCTCATGTCTGTCTGGCTGGTGGCTGCCCGACTTCTTACCCCAGGAATGTCTCTTTCTCACTTGTTTTCTCCTCCTTCTTCACTCCTTCTTTCTGAGCCTAGATTTCTACTCCTATTTATTCTCATTGCCTGCTGGCCCCGCCTCGCCCTCTTTTGCCTAGCTATTGACCATTCAGCTTTTTATTAGATCAATCTGGTGCTTTAGGCAGGGAAGGTGAAACAAATGCAGCACATCCTTACATAATTAAACAAATGCAGCATAAACAAATGTAACACATCTTTACACAGTTAAAGTAATATTCTGCAGCATAAACAAATGTAACATATCTTTGCCCAGTTAAATTAATATTCCACAACAATTAAGTTTCTTCAACTTAAAAATTCAGAAATTCAATTATTTATTCACTCAGCCATCTTTCAGTGAGTGTCAACCACAGGCAAAAACATTGTACTGTGTGCTGTCAAATACCAAGATGTGCAGTAATCATTGACTCTTGGCAGTCTTAGAGCATTGTGTGAACAGACTTGTAGGAGACTGGAATGGAGCTGAGACTTACAAACATATTTCCCTTTACTCATCAGTAGGTGTGCTACAACTGTTTAGCACATAGAGGGTATCAAGAGAGAAAGCCAGCACCGTGGGGAGCAGTTCATAGCAGTTCCAAGTAGGGAACTGAGAAAGAGGTTTGGAGAGACGGCTCAGTGGCTCAAAGCAATGGATGTTCTTCTAGAGGGAACATACCTGTCTGGTGGCTCACCACTATCTGTAATGCTGATTTGTAGGATCCCATACCTCTTCTTGCCTCTGTGGACACTGCACTCAAGTGCTACACATTTGTATATGCAACAAAATATCCACACCCATAAAAGGCAATAAAAATTTAAAAAATATATGAAAGAGGGAAAAGAGAGAAGTGGGAAAGGTCTTTTGCTCTCCCCCATCTTACTGTAGATGACATGGAAGAATTAAGCAATGAGGTGGAGTTGAGATGCAGAGTGTGAACTCCTGGATTCTGGCTAGACTGAGAGAACCCAGTGGGACATCAGCTATTCAGTGTCCCAAGGAGATGGAGAAAGGATAGAGACCAACACAGGGACAGGTGAAGTGAGTTTCCTTCAGCTGACGGCTAGTCGGAAGAGAGACGGGGAGGCGGATTGATTTAATTCCAGGAGAATGACTTTGATGTGTGAGTAGACAAGCTCCTTCTTGTACTAGCCTCATTTAGGAAACTGGGACTCAGGTGAGACAGTCTGGTGGGGAGTTTCTTGCTCAAGGTGGATTCCTTGCTCAAGAAGGCTGAATTAACCTAAGAAATTAAAAAAAAAAAAAAAAAACTGAAAGAAACTGGGTCACTCTGAATTGCTAGGTTCAGTGTTTATCTGCCTTTAAATTTATAATCATGGCAGTTAAGAACAAAACAAAGTTTGATGTGGATTATGGGCACATTTTTCCAATATATATTATATAAGGTACAGATGCATCCCATTTATGGTAATACAAAATAGATTTTTATGATCTATTCCAGTCTTTTACTCTCCCAATCACCATTTTATTATTTCATTTTATGTAAGAGGATATGAGAGTATGCTGGGGTAAGCATTGCATCCCTCAACTTTATAGGTGAGAAATCTGAAGTTTAGTGAGGTTGGGTTGCACCTCTTCAACTAGAAAATGAAGATAATAGTGCTGGGCTGAAATCTCTTGGGCTTTTAAAATTCTATGTGTTTATTTATTTGTTTATTTATTCATTCATTCATTTATTAATTTTTGAGGTTCAAATAATAATAGGAAAATTCTGTGGAAATTTGACTTACTGTGTGTCTAATAGCATTGAAAAGCAGATGAAGCCAGATGCTGCCAGGAATGCCACCAAAGTCAGGAAGAGGTAAGCTAGACTATCAGTTGCAGATCTGTGCTCGCTCTACCAATTAAGAATATCCTTAAAAATGTTTTGATATGTCCAGCTCACACATGAAATGGACTCTCAGAGGCCTTTTGTTAACTGGCTGTCAGGATCTGTGTCTGCGTCCTAGGAATAGGTTTCGTTGTTGTTGAGTCAATACAAAGACTACTGATGCTAACTGTTCTATTGAAGCTATTTCTTCTGCACTCATGCAAAGGACCTTAAATGTGGTAGAAGTTATTCAACATTTTTTCCAGAAGTTCAAATTTATACTTTTCAGCTATCTTAAATATTATGAATGACTAAATTATTGTACACATCTAAAGAACATAATTTAATCTATACCCACGTTTCTGTAGAATTGTAGAAATAATGTTGCTAAATTAATCATAATATTTGGATCCCTGGTGAAGGTCAAGACCTGCTGTGGGATGTTCTGTATGGCAAATGTGTTGCTAATTAGTCAATAAATAAAACACTGATTGGCCATTGGCTAGGCAGGAAGTGTAGGCGGGACAAGGAGGAGAATAAAGCTGGGAAGTGGAAGGCTGGGTCAGAGAGACACTGCCAGCCACCACGATGACAAACAGCATGTGAAGATGCCGGTAAGCCACGAGCCATGTGGCAAGGTATAGATTAATGGAAATGGATTAATTTAAGCTGTAAGAACAGTTAGCAAGAAGCCTGCCACGGCCATACAGTTTGTAACCAATATAAGTCTCTGTGTTTACTTGGTTGGGTCTGAGGGGCTGTGGGACTGGCAGGTAATAGAGATTTGTCCTGACTATGGGCCAGGCAGGAAAACTTAAGCTACAAAGACCAGCTTTGGGCACTTCTGCCTTGGTTTAAGCCACTCAAGGAACAAGGGATGAAGTATCCTCCTTCTTTCTGCCAACATGGCTCTGAGTCTGGTCACCTCTGACTTTTGATAGTTGATTTTAGATCCCTTTTATGTTGTTAAAAGCATGTTAGTTATAGGACCTTCTCTTACTTTCTTGAATGAGGTCTTTGAATATTT